ATTTCTTCTATGGCCACATATGGCTCAGACAGTAGTTGCCATGAGACCATGATTGCTACAATGAGCAAAACAATATCTTGCGACTTTTATCTGCTGTGACAATCAAATACATAGACCCAGTGCCTGTGGGGTTTTGTTTGTTTGTTTTGGGTAGTTGGGGTATGCTCAGAACAGTTTTCTAGCACTAATGAAAATAGTGTGGTCCCATTATCATTAAAGCAAACTGGCTTTTCACATTATACCAAGGCCTTGTTCCTGAAAGTCCATGTAAGGTGGGCAATGCTAGACTATTGTCCCCTGGTGCAAATCTGAGAGACTGCTATACAGGGCCATGAGAAAAGTTAATTAAAAGCTAAGACTTGTCCTTCCACAGAGAGAGTGTGACTCTCTGCAGTTTGTGTGCCTGCTCTAATCCTTTCATGAATGCAGGGTGAAAGAGAAAATAAAGGGGTGATGGGTTGGGGGTGAGAGAAATGGGCTTTAATGTAATCTCCTGCATACAACTTGGCTCTGCTCCTCTCTGTTGCTACTTTTTTTTAATACACTATAGAAGGAAAAAGCACTTCTTTCAGTTCCCTAGTACCTTTCCATAAATAAAAGACATATGACAAATAAAAACACCTGCTTCCCCTTACCCTAAAACCAGAAAATAACTAATCCCAAATAAAGTCAAACCTAAACACTATTCCTAACGTGCCCCTTTCTCCCCAAACAGCTGGCTCCAGCGATGATCATTGCAGTGTGTCCAGAAGGTCAAAAGATCTGGACAAGGTCAGACCCACGCAGAGAGTACATTTAAAACCTGAGGACAAACCACCCTGGCACCAGTTTCCACCACATCTGCCTCTCCTGATCTCAAATATGGCAGGATGGCACAGGGAGAGAGGCAGTCTCTCAAGCAGGCAGGCCATGAGCTTTATAAATCAAAAACAACCCCTTAAGTTCTAATAGGGAGTCCAACCAGGTCCTGGGGCAATGGTGGTGTGTGCTCCCAGCAAGATACACTGCTTAATGAGCAGGCTGTTGCATTCTGCTCTAGTTTTATTTTCCAGATGCAGCCTCAGATAGAATGCAATAAGCTTGAGGTGACACAGGCATGGATCAGTAGTTGGATCCCAAAGCCCATCTCCAAATGAAATCAATACAACCTCTTGGCAAGACAGTTGAATAAAAGCATTCCTGGTTAGTGTTTGTATATGGTCACTTACTAGCAGGTGGGGAATCCAGCACTACCTCAAGTTGGTAAGTTCTCGTTACGAAACGTGGGCACACCCTTGCTTAAAGGGGCAAATACAATCCTTCTCATATTTTCTGGTTGCTCCTTCCAGCGTGAGCCTACCATCATCACTTCAGTTCTGTTTGGCTTGAACCCAACCATCCTTGATCTATATTCCAATCTAAGGTACACACTGGGTAGAACCTTCAATAGCACTGAACTGTCTGGGGAGATTCAGAGATCTAGAACTCTGACTGACACACGACAGACCATGCTGCCTCACTAATCCTCCCACTGACCTTTATAGGCCATGAACATTAGAGGAAACAAAATGCAATCCTGCAGAACCCTACATGCGTGTCCTTAGAGAGGAGAAGCAATTGCCCCAGCTCCCTTTTGGGAATTCTCAGCAAGGAAGAAATGGAGTTAGCTGAGAGCAGCCCTATCCACTCTTAGTACAGTCTGTAGGAAAATCAATACTGGAGTGGAGAGTATGCTTATAAAACTTACAGATGACCCCAAGCTGGGAGGGATGACAAGCACTTTGGAGGACAGGATTAGAATTCAAAATGACCTTGACAAAGGAGAGAATTTGGTCAGAAATCAACATGCCAAAAGTCAATAAAGACAAATGCAAAGTACTATACTTAGGAAGGAAAAAAAATCAAATGCACAAGTACAAAAGGGGGAATAACTGGCAAGCAGTAGTACTGCTGAAGAGGATGTGGGGATTATAGTAGATCACAAGAGGAATATGAGCCACCAACGTGACACAGTTTAAAAAAAAAAAAGGCTAATATGCTGGTATTTATTAACAGGCGTGTCCTATGTAAGACATGGCAGCTACTTGTCCTGTTCTATTTGGCACTGGTGAGGTCTCAGCTGAAGTGCTATGTCCAGTTCTGGGCATCACACTTTAAGAAAGATGTAGACAAATTTGAGAGAGTGCAGATGAGAGCAACAAAATGATAAAAGATTTAGAACACTTGATCTATGAGGAAAGGTTAAAAAAAAAACTGGGCACATTTAGTCTTGAGACAGGAAAACTGAAGTGAGATTTGATAACAGCCTTGAAATATGTTAATGGCTGCTATAAAGAGGGGAGTGGATCAATTGTTCTCCATGTCCACTAAAGGTAGGACAAGAAATAATCAGCTCAGTCTGCAACAAGGGAGATTGAGGTTGGATATCAGGAAATGTTTCTAACTATAAGGATAGTTAAGTACTGGAATAGGCTTCCAAGGGAGGTTGTAGAATCCCTATCGCAGGAGGTTTTAAAGAACATGTTAGACAAATGCTTTTCAGGGATTGTCTAGTTATACTTGGTCCTGCCTCAGGGTGGGAGACTGGACTAGATGCCCACTCAAGGTCCCTTCCAGTCCTACACAGCTATGAATCACACCTAAACGATCAACAATGCTGAAGGGTATCAGAGGGGTAGCCGTGTTAGTCTGAATCTGTAAAAAGCAACAGAGGGTCCTGTGGCACCTTTAAGACTGACACAAGTATTGGGAGCATAAGCTTTCGTGGGTAAGAAGAAGTGAGGTTCTTATCCACAAAAGCTTATGCTCCCAATGCTGAAGGGAGCTCATTGGGAAAAAGGCAACAGTGTGGTATAATGGACAGGGCAAAAAACTGGAATGTAAGGAAACTGGGTTCAAGGAAGCTGTACCACTGCTTTGCTGCATGACCTTGGGCAAGTCACTTCCCTTCCTGTGCCTCAGTTTCCCTCAGCTGTAAAATGGGAATTATGATACTGGTTTCTGTAAAGCATTTTAAGATCTATGAATGAAAAACACCATAGCAGGGCTCAGTATTATTATGATAGCACTGAAATATGTAGGCAGGAGTAACAAAGTGGATGGGTAGCAGTGTATATCTCTTAATGCAGAATCAGTTTCCTGTGTATTCCCTGTCCTGTTCATCTCCTTTTACCTTGTGCTTCTAGATGCAGGATGCAGATACCTGTGCTGGGCAGGAGCAAGCCCTATCCCGGGTTCTTAGTTGTTTTAAGAAATAATTGACCTAGTGCTTGGAATGAGAGGTGTATGCTGTGCAATAACAATTTCCATCGGAGTCTTTACAAGTATAACTGATATAGAGGATGTGACTGTGTAGAAGCTGCAAGGTACTGTATCACCTATCACCTTGAGTCAGTGTCAATTTATGTTTGCAACTCACTTGAGAAAAAAAATAAACACATGTAAAACAATCTTTTCATACTGATTTAGTAACACTGCCTTAAAAAGCTCTTCAGACACTAGTTGAATTTATTTCCACTTACACAAGTGGACTGCTTCAACTTTTCCATTCCTGTGGAATAATTTTCCATGGGCCTCATCTCATGATTTTCACAGATTCATAGACTCGGAGACCCGAAGGGACCATTTTGGGAAAAAAGACAAGTTGCCGTACTAAATAAGCCCGTTGATTTATTAAGTCTGGTATCCTGCTGTTGTGTATTGTTCAGAGGAAAGTGAAAAAATACCCACAACACACCTAGCTAGTTGTGCATTTTTGCATGCAGGTGAAAAAAAGAATCCTTCCTTTTCTCTAGAGCAATCAGTTTATGTCCTGATGCATGAAATTTTTTTTTATTTTTATCTTACGAAGCACAATTACAAATAATATTATCCTGATCCTTTTGAAATCCGGCCACAGAGTTTGACTCTGATCTCCTTGATTTTGGTTATTACATGCTCACTCTGTGTGTGTGTGTGTGTGTGTGTGTGTGTGTGTGTGTGTTGTACCTATACCTGGGAATAATGTGCCCTTTTTCCTTGGCCCATATAAGGTCAGGGAGCATTGAAGAGGTAGCACTCTTCAGACCCTATGTTGCTTTCTAACTAGTGGCCCCCTTTGGCTGGTGGAAAAGGTAGTATTCCTGAGTTCTGGAAGGAGCTGTATCCCCAGTTCTCTTAGCCTATGGGAAGGCTGTTGTGATGTAAAGCCTCAGAGGAAGGGAGTAGGAGGAGAGGTAAATGGGATCATAAAGGGCCTTGAGGGGAGGGGAGGAGGAGAGAGAGAGAGAGAGTGTGTGTGTGTGTGTGTGTGTGTGTGTGTGTGTGCATACGTATGGGAAGGGTGAGTAGGGGACAGACAGACTTTTTAACCAAACAAGGATCAGGGGGCTGGAGGGAGAGCCAGAATGACTAAATAATTGCAGGGTTTAAAAAAAAAAAAAAAAAGTCCAATGGGTAAAGTTGCTTTATCAGATAAATCAGATTTTTTTAAATTGGAAAACTCCCCAAAGACCAAATGGTTTAGTGTTGCTTATGCTTTCTTTACTTAGACATTTTCCCAAATATTTGCATTTGAAATAAATTACAGAATGTTTGGATTTCTGTAATTGAGTCTAACACAAGAATTAGTGAACTTAAAAAAAAAAAAGGAAAAAAAGCGTTATCTTTTCTGAAGGGGCTTAAAATGCTGTTGGAGGAAATCATTTGCCTATTCTCAATTTTTGTTTGATAGAACAAAAAACCCTAAGCAATAAAATCAGGGTCCAAGAAAAACATTTAGCTTGAAAAAAGGTTGAAAAATGTAGCTTTGGAAAGATCACTGCTTACATGGGATTGTTCAACAAATTCCTGTTGTGTGAGGTTTGGCATATACTTTCTAAAAATATCAGACTCTGGGGAAGCCAGACAAAGCCCAGGTCTTGGACCAAACGAGGCATGCAGCGTGAATCTGTTAGTGATTATATCCATAATGAAATATGTGCCCAAATTTAGCAGTACAAACCCCCAATACAATATGAAAAGACAGCATGTACAGTCCTTACCATAATATATAGCCAACAGAGAAGGTGCATACTGCAGCCAGTCCACAGCTCCTGCTGGGAAACTGATGATGTGTTGTTCTCATCTCGATTAATATAAAGGGCAAAACTGTTGTATGCTAAGAAAAAAAACAAAACGCAACAGGAGAAAACCAGGTGATACAAATGATTCTCACTGCATTTCAACACTTGTTCTACAACAGGAAACTTAATAGCAAAGACTTCTCACAAGAAAAACAAAATTCAGAGGTAATCTCTTTATAGGCATGGAAAAAGACAAAACCATGAGCATATAAAGCCGATCAAATTTAAACCCTATTACTTAAATTGGCCTTTTTAATGCTTGAGCGTGGAGGGCAGTGTAGGAAAAAGTGAGCAGAACATACATTTTTGTTTTGTCTGAGGGTTGCAGTGTAGGGTCATTTTGTGATTAAGGGACAGGACCTGGAACTAGGGGAACTGGGTTGTACTCCCAGGTCTGCTCCACAATTGCTATATGATCTTTGCCACATCACTTAAGTCAGGGGCAGGAAAACTTTTTGACCTTAGGGCTGTATCGGGTTTCCAAAATTGTATGGAGGGCCAGTTAGCGGAGGCTGTACCTCCCCAAACAGCCAGGCATGGACTAGATGACCTCTTGAGGTCCCTTCCAACCCTGATATTCTATTATTCTATGCCCCCCCCATCCAACCCCACCCTGCTTCTTGCCCCCTGACAGCCCCCCGAGACTCCTGCCCTATCTAAGTCCCCTGTCTGCCCCCAGAACCCCTGCCTCTGACTGCCCCCTGCCACCCCATCCAATCCCTCCTCTCCTTCCTGACTGCCCCCTGGTGACTCCTGCCCCCATTCAACCCCCCTGTTCCCTGCCCTCTGACCCCTATTCACACCCCCGCCCCCTGACCACCACCCTGAACTCCCCTGCCCTCTATCCAACCCCCCCTGCTCCTTCCCCCCTGCTCCTTGCCCCCTTACCGCGCTGCCTGGAGCACTGGTGGCTGGCGGCGCTACAGCCGTGCTGCCCAGAGCACCAGGACAGGCTGCCGTGCTGCCTGGCTGGAGCCAGCCATGCCACCGCGCAGCACAGGCCCTGGCTCTGCAGCTGCACTGCCCCTGGAGCTCACAGCCCCGCTGCCCAGAGCATTGCGCCAGTGGT